GTTCCATATTTTGTATTTTTCATTCATTTTCCTTCCTCCCTCCCGAATTTTATCATCATCATCATCATCCCGTTTTTCTCTCCTTCGGGGTAAACATTCGTGTTTTTGCAAGTGTTAATATCCAAAGAAATGACATAAAACTTTTCCCTCGGATGTATTAGTCAAATTTGATGGAAAGTTTTGCGGAGGAGCGAAAACGTTTTTCTCGGGGGAAAAGGGGAAGTGGGGGGAAAGGGAGAAAAACTTCCGGTTCCTCTTCGTGCAGGAAAACTTATCAAAATTTTCTCTTAAACTTGAAGAACAATTTTCGTTGTCGCATTTTGACTTGTTTTCATTTCGTCCGAATTTTTCTTTATTATTATTATTATTATTATTAGGTAAAAAGTGTTTCTTTTTTTTTTTTAAACAAAGAAATAAAAAAGGAATAAACCTTTGAGGAAAAAAAAAGGAAGGAAGGAAGGAAAAAAGTTTTTTTTTTTTCTTTCCTTCGCGAAAAGAACATTTTCTTTTTTTTTTTCACGCCGCTCATTCACTTCCTTTTTCTCATCTACCTCCTCCCTCCCTCCCTTTCTCCTCCTTTCCCCCACATATTCTCCCATTTCTTCAAAGCCCCTCAATTTATTTGATTCTTTTTAATTTAAAAAAAAAAAAAAGAAAACGAGAAAAAGAGAAAGATAGAGGGAGAGAGAAAGAGAAATAAAAAAAAAAAAAGCAATGAAAATTTTTACTGCTTCGTTATTTTTTTTTTTTTTTTTAATTGACCTTTCGTTTCTGGAATCATTTCCAGAAAAATAACCTTTTTTTTTTATCAACGGCGTTTTGTTATTATTATTATTATCATCATTATTATTACAACGTTTAATTAAACTGATTGTAATTTGATATCCGGTTAATTTTATTACCCGCGATCGATATTAACAAGTTTACTATTGTTTTCTTTTATCATCGCACGCGAGTCCATTTTATAAAAATGTTTCACCGGTTTTTAACAAACGAACCGATTCTCAAGCGTTATTCTCCAGCGACACTCCAGCATTTTTATTTATCGATTAATAATTAAATGATTCCGAACATTTTGGAAAAACATAAAAAACATTTTTCCACTTTTAAAATTTGCATTGACGATTTTTGGAGTTTTCGAAAAACATGTTCAGCTTATTACTAATTTGTGACGTAATCAAATACTCATCGTATTATTTCCCGGATTTTATCATTATTATTATTATTATTGTAATTAATCGTAAATTAATGATTATTATTATTATCGGATGGTGTAAAATTAAAATTAAAAAAAAATTTTCTTTTTTTTTTTTTACTTTCCCGTCGACTTGCGAGAAAAAAAAAAAATTTACAATTGTAATTTCAATCTCACTCTTTCTCTCTTTCTCTCTCTCCCCGTCTCTCTCTTTCTTTCTCCAGAATTTAATTTTAATTTTTTTTTAAATAATACAAAAAAAAAAAAAAATTTATTCGTTTTAACCTTTTTTATTTAAAAAAAAAAACTTTAAATAACAAAAACGTTTAAGTCGAATGAAAAAAAAAAAAAAGTTTTTGTCAAACAAATATTTGAAATTCAAACTGGAACTGAAACAAACTGGAACTAAAACTTGAACTGGATTTTTTCTTTTTTTTTTTTAATTCTTTTCATTTCATTTTTCATCTTATAATCTTTTTACATAAAAAAAAAAAAATTCACTTAAATTTAAATTAAAAAATATCTAATTAAGTTTTTTTTTATAATTAAGTTTTTGTAAAAAAAAAAAAAAAATGTCTACCCCGTATTAAACTATTTAAAAAAAATATGTCTCGACTGTACGATAATTTTTTTTTCCCTCTCTCTCTCTTTCTCTCTCTTCATTTTCTCCAGTCGGTGCAATAAAAAAAAAAGAAAAAAAAATCTTAATTTATTTTATTTGAATTCAATTAATAATCTTGGGGTGAGGAGTTATTATGAAAAATGTCAAGAATTATATTTTATACATTCCGCCATTTTCTCCAGAATTTTCTTCCGGAAAACTTGTTCTTGACTTGTTCTTCTTTTCCAGAATGAGATTAGTAAAATAAAAAAAAAAAAAAAAGGGTGAATGAATTTAAAAAAAAAAAAAAAAAATTGTTCAAAAGAAGAGAATTCGAATTTGGCGTAAAATTAAATTATTGTTATTATCATTGTTATTATTATTAAATATTATTATTATTAATTAATAATTTTACATATGTACATAAATTTTAAGCATAAAAATTTAATTGATTGATTTGTCTTAATTACGTAAAATTTGCTTTTTTTTTAAATTTTCAGTATAAAAAAACAAAATCATTATTATTATTATGGTAGTTGTTGTTTATGTTTTTTGTTGCTGTGGCTGTTGTTGTTTTTGTAGTTGTTTTTGTTGTTGTTCTTGTTGCTTTTGTTGTTGTTTTTTGTTGTTGTTCTTGTTGCTTTTGTTGTCGTTTTTTGTTGTTTTTGTTTTTGTTGTTGTTGTTGTGAAATTTTTCCAAAAATTAAATTTAAAAAAACTCGAATCGATATTGAAAACTTTAAAAAACAAAATTTTATTCATCGATCAATCAATCACTTTTCGTTTTGTTTTTACGTAAATAGTTTTAAGTTTTAGTTTAAGATTAAAAAAAAAAATTTCGCGCCATTTTTTTTGTTTCCGTTTCCTTCCCTCCCCCGGGATTATAATTATATCGTCATTCATTGTTTGTGTCATCGAATTCGTTTGTTTCGTCAAAAAAAAATTTTTTTTTTTTCTTTTTCTTTTCCTTTTGTCTTTTAAAAACGCGAACGTTTTTTTTCTCTCTCTCTCTCTCTCGTTTCTTAAAGGAAAAAAATAAAAATATTTTTTAAAAAAAAGTTTTATGGGGGGAAAGCGAAAAAAAAAAAATGCTGATGTTTTTACATAAATACTCGTAAATTTTTTTTCTTTTTTTTTTTTTGTCGGCGGAATAAATCGGATGTGAAAAAATGTATGTGCAAGCAGAAAAAAAAAAAAACCTTTCAATAGGTTTGAAAAAAAAAAAGAAGAAAAGAAATGAAAAGCGAAAAGAAGATTTCTTTGTTAAAAACTCTTAGAAGAAAAAAAAGGAAAAGAAAAAAGGAAAAAAAGGAAAAGAAAAAAAGGAAGGTTTTTAAAAAAAGTAAAAAAAATAAAAAAATTTTTACTCCGGATACAAAGTGAACATTTTATCATATAAAAAAAAAAGAACAAAAGGAAAAATAAAAAAAATTATTGTTATAATTACGTAAAACAACCATATAACAATAACAATAATGAATATTATTATTATTATCACTCGTTGGGGAAAAAATTTCATGTTGGAAAAGCGTGGAAAATTTTTTAAAAAAAATGGAAAATAACAAAACTAAATTTTTTAGTTTAGTACCCTCGTCAATATTGTTTTCATCAATTTTTTTTTTTTTTTAAATCGAGAATCGTTTGGGTTGGTCTCGTCCCCTAACCCCCTAGCTCCCCAGCTCCCCTCTTCTCCTTTCCCCCTCCCCCCATTTTCCCTTGAATTTGAAATCGTTTCGTTATATAAATTAAATTGTTCGCGTTAAAAACACTTCAAATTTTTTTTTTTTTTGTTAAATTATGAATTTTTTTCCTCGTCATTTTCCACATTTTCCTCGTCAGTTTTTCTTTTTTTTTTTTTTGTAAATTTTATTTTGAGTATTTTGTAAAAAAAAAAAAAAACGATGGTAATAATAATGATGATGATGATAAAAACGTGATTTTTTTTTGTAGTAAAATTTATTTGCATTTAGGAAAAACAAAAAAAAAAAAAAAATTTAATAGGGAAAAACCACTTCAGGTTCATAAAGTGTTTTTTCTGCTTTTTTTTTTGTTTGTTTTTTTATTTCGTACGATTAATTATTATTATTATTTGTTTATTTATTTTTTTTATCGCGAAATTTTATTTTTAATTGTTTTGATTTTTTGATAGTAAATGATAACCTTAAAAAGGTTTTTAAAAAAATTTTTTAAATTTTATATTGACCGACGACGATTTAAAAAATAGTAATAATGATAAAGGAGGATGTATAATTATAATAATAATGATAATTGTGAAAAATAAAGGAGGATATAACTATAATGATAATAATAATCTGTCGTGAGTACGAAGATTTGGACGATGATTGGTGGAATCGCATTCAAAACCCGATAATTTCGAAAAATGGTGTAAATTAATTGAAGTATCCGCATACAGGCGGAGAAAAACATCAGAGAGCCAAAAAAGCAGAAAAAAGTTTGAAGTAGTCAGGATGATAATACAGAAACTATTCCGATTATCGTGGAAGCATCGGGAGCCATGCCACTTTCAATAAAAGGAAATTTGATAAAAATTTTCAAAGATTTAAAAGGAGAAACCGTGCGTGCGTGGGACGGGTCACATTTTCCGGAAAATTTTATTGATAGCATCATTGATATTCGAGGAATTATATTTAGGAATGAGGTAGAGAAACCTGGAATACAGACAACACTCCATCTTTGATCTTGACGCCTCGTTCAAAAGGAAAAAGTAATCATATTAATAAAGTTAGATATAAACTTTCGCTCTCTCCCCCTCCTTCCCCCTTCTCTCTTCGGTTATTATTTCGGGTTATTTATCATTAATAATTTGAGTAAAATACTTTGTCAGCTTAATGAAAGTTTTATTATTTTTTTTTTTGGGGGGGGCTTTCCAATTAAAATAAAATAATTTTTTTTTTTTTGCATAAAAATGAAAATAATTCATTCAACCGTTCATTGTCAATTTTCGCCTTTTTTTTTAACAACCGGAAATTTAATTAACGAAACGACAAACGACAAACGAATTAATTAAATATAAATAAAAAAATTTTATTTAGTCATATATATATAAATTAATTTGCTCTCCTGTACACACAAAAAAAAAAAATGGCAACTCATCATAAAATACAATTCGTTTTTTTTTTTTCTAAAATTATATATTTATTTATTTATTAAAAAGATTAATAATAACAATTTTTTGTTTATTAATCAAACTTTTTCCAATAAGTTTTCACTTTCGATTTGAGATACCAAAAGCGAAGCCAAAGAAGAAGCAGAAGATGATGATGAAGAAGAAGAAGAATGATTTGTGATATTTCCACAAAATGGAGACCCTGACGAATAGAAAAACGATTGATTGAATTTGTTGTTTTCGCAATAAACGACGCTATCGTAAATTAAATTATTCGCGTTTGATGATAAAAAATCATGGGTTTGTGTCGATGATAAGAGTCCTGGAGAACAATCGACGAGATCTAATGATTCGGAAGGAGTGTTCGGGGTAGAACCGAGTATCGTTGCCGGTGGAGTCATTATAACGGAAGCACAATCTAGACTCAAATCATTTCGACTGTTCGGTCTCTATAAAAAAAAATAATTTTTAATTAATTTTATTTCGTCAAACGATAAAAAACTATATTTATTATTATTATTATCATCATTAAATAATTCTTACGTCGTTGTTGTTAAAATAATTAAGGCTAGATTGTTCTTTAACATCTGTTCGAGATTGAGCAATGAATATTCGAATTTTCTTTAACATAAAATCGGGAGCTTCGAAACCTTTTAAATCCCCTAATAAAACATTCGGATTATGCCTGAGAAATAAAAAATTTATTTTTTTTTTTAATTTTAAAAATTCTTTTTGTAAAGGAGTGAAAATATAATCTTAGCTTTTCCTTTTTACTTACCTGTATTCTTCGGATTCTGCTAATTCCTTAACATCTTCTAAAATTAATAAATAAGCTATGCCACCCGTGGGAGGCATCAAATTATGCCTTGATAACCATTCTTTATCTTCTGCATCACCTGAATATTTTAAAAGTTCCGGGTGTTTTGTATACAACCTTCCACGAGTTTGACCGAAACCTAAAACCTTATTGGCTCTAAAAACCAAAAAAAAAAAAAAGGTTTTATTCGTATTTTAATAACATAAATAATTTATAAAAATAATGCACCGATAAAAACTCACCTCGCTCCCATAATAAACAACGTGGATTTAACGATTC